TCTACCCCACCATCAGATTCCACACGCTGTCCCATCTTTCTGGAAACAATTAAGGCTAAGGAATCAGACGCTGAGCCCCCAGCAACACTCTCCCACACAGGTCCCTCGTTATCTTCATCAGAAGGAAAGGAGGACATTCTAGGGAACAGGAAAGGTAGAACCTCCAATCCCCAGAGGTTCTCTGAGTGACTAATTGTCATGGAAGATATGGGCAAGACTCCCACCCCCAAACTTACGCACCGGCAGCCATTTACCAATGTCTCCCGTGTGAAGCCAGCCATCGCTGTCCAGGGCCTCCTTCGTCCTGTCCTGATCTTTCAAGTAGCCTTTGAACACGTTTGGTCCCCTCACACATATCTGTGGGAACAAACACCATGGCCTCTCTCAGCCACGACACAGGAATGTGACCACGGGAAGCTGTCCCCAAGAATATGGAGAATAAGGCTCACCATCCAACAGGGAAGTCACTATGAAAATTGCGGCGATGGAGATAGATGACCAGGAACTGCCACCAGCCATTTGAGCTGCCTCCTGTTTCTCTCATTCAGCGTCCTCCCTATCTTCCCTCTCTGCCTTGCCTGCCTCAGGCCTCTGCAATCTCTTCTTCCTCAGGGGCCTCTGGGCCTTGGCCACATGCTGCATTATGATATGCGGTGGGGTCTCATCACAAAGGTTGATGACTGGCTGATCCTACCAGAGGTGCTTGGATTCCCTGTCTCATTACCAGGCAGTTGGCTTTCCCACCCTTCCCAGGGAATGAACAGTACAGGTAAGCTCTGTTGCCCCATCTGGCCCATCTGTATGTGGTCTCGTTTATGCTGGCACAGAGCCCACAGCAGCAGGCCATGCCATAGTTTAGAAATAAAATGGACTTTCGGATAAGTCTGGGAATTCCAAATCTTGATTTAGACCAGCTCAGTCTCAGCTTTGAGTGGCTCATAAATAAGGGAGGAGATATTAAATTCAGTTGGGTCGAGTTAATCAGCAATTTACAATGACTTTACCATAGATGAGAGGAAGATAATTCCATTCCACTGCCTTTGTTTGTGTATTTGTTTTTGCTCACTACACGTAGAACCCATGGACACGAATGGCTAAATCCTTAAGTTTACCTCTCCCTCTCCTTGGTGAGTCCAATAGTTCAGCTCCTCAACATCAACGAGCTTGATGTGATTGCAGGGCAGTGGTGCTCCTACGTGCCCTAGAAGGTGGAAGCAAGATGGCCTTTGTCAGGGTTCAGATCACTTTCAGCACTGAAGATGCAACATGCCCCGTAAAGCCCCTAAGTGGTCAAAGTGGTCAATTATGGATGGAAAACAACATACCTTTAGATGGGCATTTTTCATAAGGCAAGTGCTGATGATAAAACAAAATTCTAGAAAAAGCAAAGGCCAGTCTCTGCTGGGCCTTTGTTTTATATCTTATTCTTTTATTTATTTTTTTTAATTGCCAGAGAGCATACATGCTCCCCAGAGAGATAGATCAGCCCCCAATGGGTCGTGGTCACACCACAACCCCTTCTCCTGTCAAGATTTGTGGCAGTCGGGCACACACACCTGATGTGTTTTTCAAGCTGATGTGGCTAGAATTCAAACCACAGTGGGCCATGGGGAATCTAGCTCCCTTAACCACTAGGCTATGGGCTGGACTATTACATCTGCTCAATAATTCTTCAGCAGTGGAAAAGCACACATGGCCCGGCACCGTCCTACACAGGGTTCTTGGGTGGGGTAGAGGGCCTTCACCCATGACACACACATAGTCAGGATTTTTTACAGTAGTGCTCACATTTAAATATTTTCCCAATTGCCAAATCACCCATCTTTGTTTGGGGAATCATCTTTTCCTCCAGTCACCAGACTGTTGTTTAATGTACACAAGTATCTAGAAATCTTATTACATTTTAGATTCTGATTCAGTAGGTCTGAGAAGAAGCCTGAGATTCTACATGTATGTCTTAAGGGGCTGCTGATGCTGTTTTCTAGTCTTCACACTATGCTTTGAATAACAAAGGAACATGGATAACTAGGATGAGGCAACTTGCCCCTGAAAAATAAGACTCCAAAGTCTCGTGATCTTATATTCTCCAACTACACAATTACATCGAAGTCATTTTCTAGTCACTGTTATGATTATGTGGTTCACTGGCAAATTAGAGGGTTTTTCAGTGGGTGCTGGCCAAGGTCCTGAAAGAAAAAAAAAATGAGCCAAGTACGATGAAAAAGAAGGCTGGGATGTTTGGGTTTCTCTATTAAAAGAGGGTATGCCAGGGCCAGCAGGTGGTGTGATGGTTAAGGCACTGGACTCCCACGTAGCTGACTGTGGTTTGAGTCCCAGACCTGGAGGCTTGAAACTCACGCCAGGTGCATGTGTGTGAGTGCCCAAATCCCAAGAGAAAAATGAAGGAGAAAGGATCATGACATGGCCATCCCCCTGGGGGAAGGGGGCTGATTTATCACTTTCTGTCTCTGTCTCTCTCATGAGCACATGTACTCTATAGCAAAAAGCCTCTAAAAAAGAAAGAGAGAAGATGCCAAACCTTTTATGATACTGTACAAAAATATCCATCCTCTTGTATTCAAAAGTTATGGTAAGGATGAATAAAAAAAGGTGAATCCTCAACAGTTTCACATAGGAGAATGTGGAGGATGACAATGATGTCAGAAAGTGGCCAAAAGGAGGGGATTCATGAGAATAATTGGCTAGTGTCATGGTAGTAACAAGAAAAAAAAAATTAGTGAGCCAGAACCTCCAAAGATAGTTCCTGTACGATCGAAAAATGTATATACAAAATAGGCTTTCTTTAGCTGGCATTTAAAGAGGCCAAACTCAGACCAAAAGCTTTTATACTTGACTCGGATGAACATGATTTTCATTTAGAATTCACCTATCATGTTTCTTTCTTTCTTTTTATGAAATTTTTTGAGAGATTTTTGTCTTATGGCATGTGTGCTCACCAGAGAGATAGAGAGAGGCAGAAAGACAGAAAGGAAGAAATCACCCCCCAGGGGGGATGACCACACCACAATCCCTTCTCCTCCATTCTCCTTTCAGGCTCTGGAGCACGCATGCACATGCGCCCAATGTGAGTTTCAAGCCATCGGGTCTGGGACTCGAATCATAGTTGGCCACATGGGAGTCCAGCAACATAATCATTACACTGTCTGCTGGTCCCCACCTACCATGTTTCTACTGACCATTTTGGGAACTCTGAAAAATGTATTACGTTAATGACTGTATTTCTTTTGCAAGCGAATCATCCCACATTTTCCAGTTTGTGGTTGAGCCAGAAGGAGTGGCCTGAGGCTCACAGAAGAAGATGGTGTTCCAAAGGATTCTAAAGGAATCTTTCAGATTCTTCCAGCATATGATCTAAAGCTGGTGATCCATGGGCTACCCACTGCAGACTTGTTCTCCCTTTGCCCTGAAAGATACATCTCCTCAGAAAAAGGGTATTGTTACTGTCTCTCTAGGCATCTGTATCACAGGGGACCATAATTCCCAAAGGGCCACTAAAATGACCTCTTTAGAATTAGTGATCTGGCTTCTATACACCTGCCTCTTCTTCATGAGTCATATCCCATTCATAGTCTGCTTCCTTTATTCTAAAATGACTATAAGCAAGGTTGTGTGGTATTCAGAATCTATAGAATCCAATGTACTTATAAGTATTTTTCCACCTGCAGCTGTATTTTGTGATCCATTACTTCTTTTTGTTTAAACATATCTCTATTTGTCTATAAAGAAACAAGAATATACAAAAAATGGGAAATACATAAGTATGTGACAAAGAAAATAATAGATCCATAATGTCATAACTCATATATAATCACCATTAATTTTTTTCTCTATCTTTTGGCTTTTCCTAAGTGCCCATGCAAATGATGAAATCTTAGAGCCCACTGTGACCTGTGAGCCATTCCCACATCTCCAGCCCAACCTACCTGAGGTCCAGTCCCCGGGCGTGGTGAAGGTACACCCAGCTGTACACTCAGTTTGGCCATAACCTTCATAAACCTTCAAACAAGACACAGAAATTACACTGCGGGGCACACATTTTCCCAGAGGTGACTGGCTGCCCCTTTCAGCCAGTGAGCCTACAACCGAGCATCTGGCTGCTCCATGCTGAGGATGGTGTCAGGGGAGGTGCTCTCGAGGTGGGCGGCTCTGGGTGAAGCCAAACAGACAGCAAGCTTTGCTCTGTAAGACTTGCCCCCCACAGCCCCACCTGTGTGCATGAATATAGCATGTGGGAGAGTCTGCCTTTAAAAATGGTTGGGCCATGTCAGTGTAGAATAAGAGGACTGTGTAAACAGCTCATGGCTTCTAAGCATAAAACTTAAGTACACACAATTACAAAATAGATGTGTCTACTTTACTTAAAACCATAAGCTACAACCATGTTATAACACTGTGTATATGTAGAAACTTAATAAACATTAATTGAATAAATAGATTAAGAAATGAATACTTTTAGAGGTGACAAAACCTATTAAATCAATTAACAACACACGCATGGGCTTTCACACCCCACACACACACACCCTGCTCTGAGTTGGGATATATTTTGCTGGCTGGAGGGTACAGAGATTAGTGCAGGAGTGGTATACGTGCTCCAGGACACCAGTCAGCTGCACACGGTTTATCTGATCCCTCTGCCATTTGCTAAAACCTTCCAAGCACCCATGTAAAGGACCTTCCCAGAGTGGATACATAGTATTTCAAGGCCATTCTGGTCTTCATTGGCTCTGGGCTCTTTTCATCCTTGAACAGAGGAGCTTTTGTCCTACAAAAATCCTGCACCCAGAACCTTCCTCTTACAGGATAGAGCATAATGGTTTTCCTACCCTAACTCATATCCCACTGCCCCCAGGAAAGACTGAACAATGATGATACCTGACATCCCAGAGCTGCCCGGAGGAAACCCAGGACTGTTGGTGACGCGGGTGCTGCTCCGGTAACGATCATCCGCACACGACCACCAAGACTGGCCTGTGTGAAGAGAGAAAAGCCTGCCAAAGTCTGTGATGCCTAGTACGGCATCCAGTCGTCTGGGCCCCATCAAGGTCAACAATCCACAACTGGACCCTACCTCAGTAAGTAGGGTTGAGATCAGAGAGAAGGCCTAAAGCTGTACAATATGAGCAGAGGAAGTCCCATCCCCTTCCAAATGATAATCCCAGTCGGCTCTGCAACTCGATGCACACTATCACCAACTCTTATGCCTTTTGAGGTAAGTGTTCTTAGTCCATACAGCAGTCTGTAATATTGGTTCTTCCTTTCTTAGAATACACAGCTGCGGAACCAGCAGATGGTGTAATAGTTAAGTCGCTGCACTCCCATGTAGTGGACCATGGTTCAAGTCCTGAATCCAGCGGCATAAAACACACCAGGCATGTGTGCATGCATGCCCAAAATCCCAAGAGGAGAATGGAGAAGAAATTGCAGTGTGCCCTTCCCCTCCATGGAGTCTCTCTGTCTTTCTGTCTCTCTGTCTCTCTGGCAGACACATACGCCCTATAGCAAAAATCTCTCTAAAAAACATAAAAACAAAAACAAAAACAAAACACAGTTGTGGGACCAGCAGTTGGCATAATGGCGATGTCACTGGACTCCTATGTAGTTGACTGCGGTTTGAGTCTCGGACCCGGTGGCTTAAATTCACACCAGGTACGTGTGCATGTGTGCCCAAGATCCTGAGAGGAGAATGGAGAAGGGACTGTGGTGTGATCATCTCCCCTGGGGGGTGATTTCTCGCTTTCTGTCTCTTTGTCTCTCTCTGTCTTTCTGGCAAGCGCACGTACCCTATAGCAAAATCCTCCCCAAAACAAAACAAAACAAAACAAAACAAAACACAAACCAAAAAAACCACAGTGGCTTTTTCAACCTCCTAACATTCATAAGCATCCAATACAATTACTTAAGACAATTTCTTACAAATTCCATTGTAATGGCATTGCCTTTTTTGTATATAAATTAATACCATGCTTTATTTACCATGGGCTGCAGAAAACAATATTTGCAACACTTTGTTTCTGTAAGTTGTGTCAAGAAGTTTAAATATTAATTTTCATAGCTAAAAATAGAATCACAAGGAAAAAAAAAGCAATTAACTATATATTCCTTGGGTGATACAGAGCTTAAAAACTTTACAGGAGACACAGAAATAAGTAATCAATGGTTGGCCTGGCATGGGAGAGGCTGAAGAGACAGGAAACAGAACAGAAAAGAACATTCTTAGCCATTCTGCTAGAATCCTGTGCCTCAGTAGAATTATAGAAGAGGCAGAATTACAGAAGGGGCAAGAGAACTTTCAGGCCCCAAAAGCTCCTGGGTGGAGTTACTGACCTGACTGTCCAAAGGCAAAGCTACTCTGAGATCTTTGGTGATCAAGGGACTTACCATAAAAGATCCTTCTTATTGGCAGTCTTTGGCAAATAAAACACATCTTCGAAGGTGAAAAACAACTGTTCTAAAATTCCAATGGTACTATAAGCTTTGATCTCATGTGCAAACAAAGGATTATTTTATAAGATTACTGGCCTCAGGAGTGAACTTCTAGTTTCCCTA